CTCTCACGTAAGCTGGAGTAACCAGATTAGCTTTAGCTCTGAGGTAGCACCACAACTCCCACTTCCCCCTCTCCCACCACCCCTCCTGCACAAATATTACTCTGACGTAAACAAGAAACAAAAATTATATATATTTACCATGTTTCCATTTGGGTATCACTGCGTAGATGATTAGCTGTAGAGAAACGAGAAGTTGTTACACACAGACCTCTTCAGAATTGCACTTCCCACGGCCAGTATGAAGAAGCAGGCAGCGAGCACATCTACTGATACTCCCACATAAGCCAAGTTTTTCTCTTCCCATAGAAATGTGATTGCCAAGTGTTTCTAGTATATGTCTGATACAAAGATGATCTGGCTTGCTCGGGCTGCGTTTACAATAAAATCTCACACGGACACACATTTATATACTGTTGTTAATCATATTAACTTGAAATTTTACATGTGGTGAGCTAGTAATTGTTAAATAAACCATTTATTGCTTTGCAACTGAAGGCGCGATTACCAGCTGCAGGGCTGTTCCTGGGCGGGAAGGGGTGGAGGAGGAGTAGGCATGTGAGGGTTGCTCCGGTAGAGAAAATAAAGAACATAAGAAAGGCAGCTGGCCCCACGGCCAGGTATTGACTATATTCATTAGTCCTTATAGCAGCACTGTTTGCTCTTGAAGTGGGCCAGGGCTGTGGCTGCCGGAACTGTGAAATCCATTAATAACAGCTTGTGGTACCAATGAGACCAGTGGCCAAATTTGGAATTGAGAGGGCTCTGGAAGGAGACCAGAGGCAAGGCATCAAGCACCTGGTCACCAGCCTCTGACAGGGAAGCCAGCACTTTCTGCAGTCAGATCAGCCCAGCTCCACATGGAAACATCCCAGGTGGCATTATCGTTTTGGAAAACCAACACCCTGTCAAGCCAGAGAGTTGACCACCAGCCTTCAATTATGGGTTCCCAGAAGAGGCAAGTTAACATTAACAAACGTACCCCAGGAGACAGACAAAGGGCATGCATATGCTACAGCAGCCCTCAGAATCAGCTACAGAAAGAGCAAACTGATGTCAAACATGCTGCTAGGAAAGCCCTGCACCTTGATCTGCTGTGCCAGTGGGGAACAGTCAGTAAAAGAGAGCAAATGTGGAAACATCACAACCTCTCTCATGTTTTCAGAGATATCACAAAGAAACTTAAATATATACAAAATGCAGATGCCACACCACTTTTCAAAAAAATAGTATTTTTACCTATAGTATGATGGTAAACCAATCTATATGGATTAGCTTGTGACTAGTGTGAATAATTAAACCACGGGTTTTAACAGCTCATTAGGGACTGGGGTTACAGGACCCTGCCTGATGCCCTCTGTACTGTTCACACAGAGCTCTGGCTTGTATCTGGATTCAGGCAGCCACAGATGCACAAGAGCAGACCATTCATACCAGCCTCTAAGGGGCTGTCTGTCTGGCAGGGCATGGAGTGCTGCTCCAAGCAGCTCTGTTGTCCCCTTAAATGGGAAACAAAGCCCTGCAGGAACACCCACGTTCTTACTCAGGAAGATCAACCAGCAATTCTAGTATTGGGACATTTGTCATCTGAAAAACAACCTTCTGCCTAAATCATGCTGAAGGCTCATAAAAAAATAGAAATCCTTGGAAATTATAAGGGGAAAGAATTGAAAAGAAAAAAGTGACATGATGTTTTAAAACGTACTGACTCTTGAATTACTTGCCATATGTTCAGAGCTCGAATTATCATTACAAATAAACTTTTCCTATGAAATCTTTGTACTGCAAGCAATTCTGCTTGCTAGATTAAGGGGCTCTTTTACTGCTTTTCCATCATTATCAGCTCAAGGTCATTATCAGATCAACTGTTTTCTTTAGAAGTCTTGAATCTTGAATTTTTAAAGATACTTCCTTCCTACAGACACTGTCCCATTACTTTGACACCACTGGTAAGAATATTGTTGAAAAAACGGCTTTCTACTATACAAGTTCTGAAATTTTGCAAAAGTTGCATTTCAAAAAGCATCTAAAGCTAAAGGGGGAGAGTGGATTTGTCTTTTGTTACACTGAAACCAGATATTGTCTTATATCCCCTATCCTGCAGAATACCTACGACCCGGTTTGTGAGTTTGTTTTTTGCTATTTTGTTTCATGATGTTGCTGTTAGAACAGGATCCACAGTGTTTTTGTTTGTCTGTTTATGGACACCTCTAACCCCTGATCAAATGAGAAGTTAAAAGTCTCCTCTATCCACCATGAACAGCCTCATCTCCTTCCCCTTAAAAAAAAGAAGAAAAAGAAAAGGCAAACAGCTAGCAACAGCAAAGTGTATATCATGCCTGATCCAAAGTACTTACTCAGCTTTGGTGCTTTTCATTTTTAAGAGCACTTAGCCATTAATGGGTTTGCCTCTTGGCTGACAGAAGTTCATTCCTCCTTTCTAAAGCCTGCACATGCCACTCCCAAGGGATTCAGTGGAAGTGGGGCATGCACAGCTGCCAAGAACAACCCATGGACAAGAACAGCAAGTAGGAGAAACCACTTTCTCATAGTCTCAGTGAGTGCTCCGGGCTGTGCTGCCACTGCGGGCAATAAAATGAGAAGGCAGAAGCAAATTCAGGACTGCCTGAGACCCTTTGGGTTAAACCAGAACATTTAACACCAGTGATAATTTAATAAACTCCAAAAACAAATCTTCCTGCATTTTTATATGTGCTTTATGCTGGTTTTCTAGCCAGCTTTATCAACTGCCTTTGACCAGAGAGGAAATGCTGTATTTCAAAATAAAAATCAGATGACTGAACTTCTTCCCCCCCCCCCCACCCAGAAAAAAAGTCATAATACTGCCACACCCACCTTCAGCTCCCAGGGATAAGTCATCTTCAAAACTTCCTCCATTTCTCACCAGCATGCCTGAAAACGTACAGTTACCAGTTAAACAACCAGAATGCTGTTGTGTTTTCTTTCCAACAGCTTAACTAAAGATATTGGCAAGCCACTTCAGCTGATAGAACAGGATATAACCAGACAATATTTACAATCCCTGCATTACTCATACACCAAAAATGCACTAAGAAGTGAGAATTTACATTTGAGAACACAGAAAGACTATTTTGAAAGATAACTACTATGACACTTCTTCAGTTTTGTGCTCAGAAACTTCCCCAAGTCAACCTGCTAGCAAATTAATCGCAAGGAGAAACCTAGAGGTACCACCCAACACACCTGTGCCTTCTGCTGCTCCATCATCTGTGCTCCAGACATCTTACCAGGGGGATCCAGAGACTGAGTTCAGCTTAGGCATTCCTCTCTCTCTCCCTGTACCAGATTAAGAGCTGAAGCAAGTGTCCAGGCACAGCAAGTAATTCCTCTGCACCCTGTCACTATCTGCACGTTCTCGTTGTACTTTGAACTTTAGTATTCGGATCTGCTCAGATAGTAAAATTGTCAGGTGTGGCAACCAGAGTTATTAGAGGCAGAGACTGCCTAATGCTGCCAGCTTGGAGGGGAAATTACAGCCTTCCCCCCTTCTGCACATTTTGGGGTATTTTTTAGGCCTTACTAAACTTTCCAGAAAGACTTACTCAGGACCTTTCCCCTCTTCTCATTTCTCAGGCTAATTTCTCTTATACACAGTGAGAATAAGTCGGCAACACCAACTAGGCTGTGGCTTGTGCTGCTGCTAAAGAGCCACGGTCTCAGGTGAACATCCACCAAAACACAGTCCCTGGCAAAAGAGATTTCAGTAGGTAAAGCCTTTCCTTACCCTTCAACAGAGGATTGCTTTGCTCATCCAGGGAGGCTCCCAGAGGCGTTCTGAAACCACAGAAGAGATTAATAATAGTTTAAAAACTTGCTGCTTCATGTCCTTCCTTACAGTGTGCAACAAGTTTGTGATAGCAGCAGTTCTCCCTTGCTCCACCCCCAGAAGGCACAAATATCTGAGGACCAGCAACAGCTTCCTAAACAATCCCCAGCCCTCTGAACAAATTTGCCTTGTAGGGTAAAACAACAGAACAGGTTAATAATAACTGCAAAGCTTAGACCCCAGTCAGTGGCAAAGCTTTGGGGTCAGCAGCCCTCTCTTGAGGAAAATCATGGACTTCTCAACAAAACACACAGAAAAAAGGTTGGTGAGTTTTTGAACGCACTAATTCAATCTCATTTATGACAAAAACTGTTGCTATTTTTCTACACTCCTGGAGAGAGTGGTGAAAAGCTGTATTTGGTGATCAGGAACAGGATAAAAAAATATTGACAGCTATGTTAGCTGTCACTTGGCAGGTCTGTTATCTTAGAGATTTGTCACACTGGCTCTTGCTTGGATGATCCCTCCTATTGCTGCTCCCTGAAGAGCAGATTTGCTGAGCCTCTCAGTGCCCAAAAGCGGCAGCAACAACCACACAAATGTCAGGTCCAGTCCCTCTCTGGGTTCACCTTACAGTTGTTGACACTAGCTGGATGTTTCCACATCTTGTCTCTGAGATGTGTAATCAAAAGCCTGTCACTATTAAGTAGTACAGCATTAACTCTCAAAGACCAAAACAAATTCAGAAATACAATACTCACAAAGAAGGGGAAAGCAGGTCATTTATGTGCCTATAGTATGTATGTTTCATTTGGGTTTTTAATCAGACAAGCACATAAACCTGCTTTAAAACCTGAAAGTAAACAGTGCTCTGACACATTATTTGTTTTGGTGCCATGGCTAAATTCAGCAAGGAAAATTTGCATCTGCTTTCTAACAGGCCTTCCACTTCACAACCTTTTTTCCCCCCTCTGAAAATAATTTGCTCATTCCACACATGTCCTGTTGATAGAGTGCAAGCTCACTTTGATGGTCTTTTGCAAAGCAAAGCCCTGCCACAGTAAGACAAAAAGGCAAACTGCCCAGGTGCAGTAGCATGTTTCAAGTGAAAGCACAGATGCTGCTGAGGCTCAGATCTCCCAGGTTCCTGCGTGTCTGTCCTGTCGGAGTTTGAAAAAACTCAGGGCATATTGTCTAAACCTGTCACGCTACAACAAGCCTTATGTTCTGATGTAATAACTATGATGGTTGTTTACTCTCTGGCTTTGATTGCTGTGCTCCCATCCTTCTCCCTCTCCTTCCTTGGTAGCTACTTCTATGTCTTTACATTTTTGCTGCAGAAACTTGCTGGCAGTGACTTTGACAGCCAAGGTCAGTGCTGCCTGCAGCAGCTGGCAGAAAATGGTAAAAGCAACAACCAAAGCTGGCGTTTTCTTTCAGAAATTAAGTCCATCATCTCTACAGCATGTTAGCAGCTACCAGAAAAGCAGCTCTGTCAAAACAGCCCTGTCAACCAAGCACCTGCTGCCCTGTTTGCGCTGCCACACACCAGCACGCTGCCTTACACCTCCTGCCTTTGAAAAACTTGCATTGAAGAACTAGACAGATTATGAGTTTTAAAAATAGACAAGTATCCACATAAAAATCCTCTTGGACAACATCACAGACAACTCTGCCTTTCTGTGCCAGGATGTTTTTCATCCCAGCAAAGCCCACAACCCAGCCTGGCCAGTTCTGCCTCTGAGCAGCTCCGTACACTCAGCCTGGTTAGGGCTGGGGGACCTTCCCGCTTGCTTGGCCCTCGTGAGGAGGTCTCCATGCTGGAGGCACACCATGGCAGGTCCTCAGCACATTCTGGCAACTTTCACACAGCAGCTAGGGAGGCCATCAGCAACCAGAGGGCCGCCACAGCACAGAGCTATTAAGCAGGTACATGCGCAGAACAAGAGATCGTACAGATTTCCATTTGTGTGAACTCATTTATAAAAATGACTGTATTTTAACATATATGACAATAACCTATACCAATATTAGTCTACAAAAGAACTGAGTGAATTCTCAATGCCCACCCACGTTGCTGTGGGAAATGGGTATTGAGTTGGTAAGGCGAACATATGCAGCTTCAAGGCTTTCTTTCATTCCAGAAGTTGGTTTCCTCAGCTAACAGTTGTGTTAGGGTGGTCTTCAGAAACAGGACAGGGCTTTCACACTGTGCTGTGAAAGTGTTTAAACCTCAGCTTTTGAAGTCTTAATTGGGGAGGAGCCATGTTTATTTTTAACTTGAAGCAAAAAAATTATTCTTTCTGAGACATTTCAAGAACTCACTTCCTGCATATCTACAGGAGATGGCTCCTAAATACCTCCCATATCCCCTGTATCACTATCGGAGTTTAAATATACTTAATCAAAATAATACATGTCACCATAGAGTTGACAAAAATTTCTTCTTTTCTATTAGTATGATACAAACACTTGTGTCTCCTGTCTTTGCTTGACAAGAGTTAAAACTAACCTTTTTAATTTTTCTTATTACTTCAAAATGTCTTTCCTAAGTAGCAGAGAGAGCAAAAGATACCTTTCTCAGAGGCATACAATTCCCAAAACATGAAGAAACCAGAAACTTTAGGTAACATCTGACATTACTTAAGCCTCCATTATTCTTATCAGAGTGTGATACAGACTACAGACTTTTTTGGCTTTGCTGAAAAAAGAAAAACAACAACAACAACAAAAAAAAACCAACAAAGAAAAAAAAACACAAAAGAAAAAATGACAAAAACCCGTATGTCTACCAACTTAAATAGCATGGGATATTAGGAATCCTCTTCTCTCCTCCAAAGCAGATGTGAACCAGAGATGCCAAGTAACAAGAACCCCAAACCACTAACATGAATATCAAGGGACAGCTAGTAATTCTTTTTATCCATATTATAACACTGTTGATGCTTCTGGAAACAAACAATGGAATAAATCTTATAAACAGACCTATTTATGCAGTGGGTTGATATTAAGTTTTTTGTGCTGCTGCCAACTCAAACCAGTAAATGAGATTTCTTCTGATGTACATTTCACAAAAGCTTATGGGAAAGCAGACAAAATGGGAAGGACTGCTTTTAGAAAATATGTAACAGAGAATACACTTTATTTTAGTAAATGAATGTTCACTTGTAATGGTTATATTCTTGCAGCAGAGCCAACTAGTAAGATTCAGGTTGTGTGATGGAGCGGAAACAGCAGCTGTCTGTGTATGTTGCCCACACTTTGTAGCAATCTAAGCTCCATAGCAAAAACAATGTTATTAAACAAATAAGAATTGTCAGGGACAACAATTGTATGTTTTACAACAACTGTTGGTTTTAAGTGTCTGTAGGGCTAGTCTTTCAACTGTGATGCTGTCTTCTTTTCTAATATACATTGTTATCAAGAGACAATCAGTTCAGAGTTTCTATACACACCATCACTTCACAACAGTGCAAATCTTATAAACACTTACTGCACGCTTCCTACTGCTCACGTGAATATTAGACACACAAAAAATTTACACCATTCTGCAGTTTTAAAACATAAGGGACTGTGCACTACTCCAGGCAGCTGGGATCACAGCTCCCAGACATGAACCATGTACGCACACACTGTTACTGTCAGAGACTAACTCATCTCTTAGCTAATATCAATAGCTGAATGTCAAGAACCAATGCCAGGGGTTTAAGAGATCTTAAAAAAACCCCAAATATGCAAATTTTATCTTTTTGAGAAGAACACAATATTCTTTTGAAGAGATTTACAACAGTGAACAGCTATACTTCACAGCTTTCTATGGAAGGACCACAATGAGTTTCAAAATGTGCATTAAGTAAATTTGCATCTCTATATTAGCAAAAAGGTAAAGTCATACTTCATTTCATTATGTACAAAACATGGAAATAGACTGTAAAATAAGATGCCTGTATTTTGGGAATAAACTGCCAGAGACACGAAAACATTCCACAGAAGTGTTTGTGTGAGTTTTTACACAGAGCATATGAATAAAACTGCAAACTTCATGTTATTACTCAAGATTTTTGAACACCTATTCAACATTCACGTGGCTGGTTTGCAGTTTTGTGCTATTCCTTAAATTTTGTATGGAAATGGTAAGGATCACAGGGCTAGGGAAGGTTCTAGACAGAAATCCTGCAAATATGGAGAGAAGTGACAGTGCAGCACTAGGAAGAATTTCTCCCTTTGGGGCCTCTTCTCTCTCCACTCCTTTTTTTTGCCCTCTCTGCCGAAAAAATACTTCTCATAAAGCAGTGAATTCATAACACTTAGTTTTAAGAATATACTATGCCAGGCTAACAGGACACCAGATTTCAGGTGAAGTCAGAAAAATCTCCCATTCTGGCATTCCAGAAGAATGGCCTATCAGGTCTGAACATCATATTTTACTGATACAGTATGATTTCAAGCCCCTAGCTGCCAACACCTCCTCCAAGGCACAGCCTGCAGATATTTAAAGAAGACTATACAGAAGACTCTGTTAGCCATAAAGCAACCCACACTTCAGTTACCGGAGTAAGCTCAGCTCAGGCACTTTACTGGATCGATAGACCACAAAGGCACAGCTAATCTCAGAGGCAAATTTTCATCTTAATGTAGCTGCTCTCAAAAGGAGAAGAAAACCAGAAGTATCAAATATGTGAGTGAGGTCTTAAAATGACATTGTTAACTACAGGAAAGCTAATTGTTAGCTTGTCACTATCAACTCTGGCTTCAAGAGCTGCTAGGATTGAACGTAGAAAAAAATGGGACAAAAGCAGCTGTTACTGGATATAGCATTTACACTTTTTATGTGACTGAGGATGAAGAAAAAGTAATGTTGACAGCCTGTTCCAAACACCAATCAAGTGTTTTGTGGTAGCAACAGAAATATGTAATACATATACACCGTGTTGCAAGTTAAGGATGTCAGACCATATGGCAGACATGGAGAGAGACTTGGATAAATCAAGTTAGTCTGAACTGTGC